TGCACTGCTTTCCCTCTCTGTTTTTCACGCTCTAACCAATCTGCACTCTTTTCAAATTTTAAACAAGAGATTAAATAGGGAGCTTTTGGATACAAGAATAGTGTAACACTATCCTATCAGGGACTAACATGTCAGCATGTCCAAAGTTGGAGGAGTCCACTTTGCTTTTCCCATTTCTTCAACAATAAGAGAAGTCCGTGTCGGAAACCACTGTTCATCTTCAAAACCAAATCTTCCAAGTTTCTGCCATGCGCCATGCACTCAAGGTGCACCTCCATTGTTGAGCCACCCAACTTGGGAGGGCTAGCTCAACACTAGTTCTATATGCATGTTCTGTTTGCTATTGTTGAATTGGGTCTATTATTAATATCTGAAATTTCATTAAGGTTGTGTTTGGTAAAAGTCAGGTATTTGAATTTACTCTATTGTTTCTGTGAGTTATTGTGACAAAAATTAACATGAAGGATTCAGGAATTAATATTTACGCATGAGTTCTGTCCAGGAATTATGATTGCTATAATTAATTGTGATAGATGGGCATTATATCCCAAAAAAAAAAAAGGGGGAGAAATATACTGTTACAGTAGCTTTGATTGAGTTTTCTGTTAAATAACTAATTTTTTTTTTTTTTAATGTTCTATTCTGTTTGATTGTGAATTGTTGGAACTTTGATCAAATGTAAAATAAATAAAGTGGTGCAATTGGAATTTAATTGGAGAAAATTAATTGGAGAAAATCATGTTTTTGGAAGATTGATGAAGATATGAATCATCTTCCCGAATCTGTTCTTTATATCAATAGATTTCATTGATATAAATTGGTTAATCAAGAAATTGGTATGATCTGAGTTAAGTAAATCATGTGTCTATATATTTTTTTTAGTTAATTAATTTTTTTTTTTCATTACAAATTGAAAATATCTCAAATTTAAAAGTATATGATAATCATATTATGTGAAAGCTGTGAGATGACCTTCCCATGCTTAAGCAACCCTCCTATCCCAATCAATCTTCACACTTAACCAACCTTCATATCCTAGTCAATCTTCACACAAACTTTGGTGATTTATCCACTCAACCTTTGGTGATCTACCCACCTCATTTGAATAGACGGTGGCTTCAACCATTTTGTCATGTCAACCAACCATAGGTGAAAATGCATAAAAGTCAAGCAACCCAGTCCCCACGGCATTCTTCTATTTTGCCAAGACAAGCCGAGGAGGATGTGATCTTGTGTTGTTAAATCTTTTCTTTTACTTTACTATAATTAAATTATTGACAAATGTAATTTAAATTGTATTAAATTATACTATATTAATTATTAGATAAGTAATAGGCCTCTTAATATTAGGGGACTTCTTTCATCCAATAATTTATATTTTATGATATGACACAATTTAATTAAAATTCCTTTGAATCATAATTCTATATAAAATTTATGTTTTTCAATTCGAATTATATTTTAAAATGTGTTATAAACACATTACAATTTATACTGGACAATTTAATTAAAAATATTTCAATAATTTTATTGTTTAATATACGAATAAAAGTGTCAGTCTAACATGAAAATATATATATATATATATATATTTTATCCCATGATACATTTTTCCAGGGTGGTTGGGAATGGTAGAAAAGAGAGAGCCGTTGACAGGTCGGAAGACTCGCACCCTAGTCTATAACACGTGCATTTTGGGGTATTTGTTCTTGTAAACCTGCCATCACAAAGGCTCTCTTTATTATTTCCGAAAATTTGCAAAACAATGGGCATTCGATTTTTAAAGTTTATCATCATCATCCTCTTACAGCTTTTCTTCTCTAGTTTCTTATATGGAACTGATATCATCACCTCATCCCAAAATCTTAGTGACGGTAGAACCTTAGTTTCTAGTGATGGAAGCTTTGAACTGGGGTTCTTCAGTCCTGGAAACTCTGGTAAGAGCCGTTACTTGGGAATTTGGTACAAGAATATTCCAGTTCAAAATGTTGTTTGGGTTGCAAACAGGTGCAACCCAATAAATGACTCGTCTGGTGTTTTGATGATAAACAACACAGGCAATCTGGTACTCCTTAATCAAAGCGGGAGTGTTATTTGGGCATCAAACTCAAAGAAAGAAGCTCAAAACCCAGAAGTGCAGCTCCTGGATTCTGGAAATCTTGTTCTACAAGATAGAATTGATGGTAATCCAGCAACACCTTTGTGGCAAAGCTTCGACTATCCCACTGATTCTTGGCTGCCAGGGATGAAATTTGGATGGGACTTAAGCACTGGTCTTAATCGACGACTATCAGCATGGAATTCCCCAGATGATCCATGTCCTGGAGACCTAACTTATGGGATAGAGCTATATAATCTTCCCGATCTTGTTATGCGGAAAGGCTCAAGAAAGTATTTTCGGACAGGCAATTGGAAAGGCGGTGTAGCCAACCAGTTTTTTACACCCAACTCCATCGCAAATGAACAAGAGATTTACTTAATCTATCACACCAAATCCAAGTCAGTAATCACAAGGCTTGTTTTGAACCAAACCACCGGTGGTGCGAGGCGCATCATATGGAATGAAGAAGCTAGAACTTGGACGGTTTACAGTCAATTTCCAAGTGATGACTGTGACAACTATGGGACTTGTGGAGCATATGGGAACTGTGTCAATACAGAAATTCCGCCTTGCCAATGTTTGAAAGGTTTTAAGCAAAAATCACAGGAATTGAACTCAGTGGACTGGTCTCAGGGGTGTGTGCGCAATAACCCATTAGACTGTCAGAAAGGAGATGGATTTAAAAAATTTGGTGGATTGAAACTGCCTGATGCTGAACATTCCTGGGTGAATGAAAGTATGGATCTCGATGACTGCAGGGATAAATGCTTAGAGAATTGTTCTTGTACGGCCTATACAATCTTGGATATTAAAGAAGATAGAGGCTGTGTAATTTGGTTTGCTGATCTAATTGATCTTAAACTGTTCCCACCTGCTGCACAGGATTTATATATTCGAATGTCTGTTGCTGATTCAGGTATTGGCTTACTTCTAGTTTAGCCAGACAATTCATTGTTTCATCAAGTTATGTTATGATTCCTACTTATGTTGGGTGTTACTAGTTTCATTTTCAATCAATACGTGCAACTATTTCATTGCTATGACTATAATTTATATATTTCTTCTTTGTTTTATGGAATTAGATCATGAAGAGACAAAAAGCAACAATAAACTAAAGGCTGCTCTAATAATTGCAGCTGCCATTCTTGTAGTTGTTAGTGTTGTTGTAATCACCTATTACATTCGTAGGAGCAATCGTAGCATAGAAGGTATGTTTCTTTACCTTCCCAAATCATGTGGCAATTAAATTTTGATAGCAACTAATTTATTCCCTTTGGTTTGGATTAAATTTTTCACCCTTTCAGAAAGAGAAATTGATCGGAGCAATGCAAGGCAAAATGAAGATTTAGAACTCCCATTTTTTGAGTTTGTTGTAATATCCAAAGCCACCAATGATTTCTCTTC